TCTTCCAAGAGATTCGTAATAGTCTTCTGGGTGTTGCAATTCGAAAGTTTCGGTGGATCTGTGCATTCCTTTCTTGATGGACCCGTTGAAAACTTGAACGACGAATGATGATGTACAGTAGCAATGTATCAAACAGAATCCACTAAAGTAAAATAACCTTTGACAGTTGACTATTTTTTAGAAGGTACCTTTCGTAATTAGTAAAATGATGTCTTCCCGAAGAGTTTTCAAGGTTAACGAGGTATTGGTGCTTTGACACACACACACACACACACACACACACACACACACACACACACACATGTCACAAATAATCTACTCAAGTAATAAATAATTTTCAATATCCCTAACTGATTTTTGAGTGTTCGCCCATGGTTCAGTTCTGAACAAGATCCGCAACGATCTCACGTCGTAGTGTTAAGCAACCTGAGGTAAAGTCAGATGTATTTACCAACAGTTTGAATTACATACAATGCTGATACTCGGGTGGCAAAAGAGATTGTGACTAGCTACAGAAAGGCAGATTTACTTCGAAATATTAGGCATGTAGGTGGACACAACGCGAAAGAATGTAGGTACTAGAGATTATCACTGGGTAGCAACGATATTCATTCGAACTGATCGTATAGGTCTCCTTTGTTTAGTTATCTTGCCGTGGATTGTTATACTATAACGGCTTCTAGAATTTTCCATTCTCTCTACAGTTAAATTCTTTTCGAATTATCTGCTGCAAGTTTCCTGCTGGTTGACCTGGTTCTTTCGGATGTTTCCTCCGCTGTGGCCGAACCCTTTTCACCTACCCTGCGTATGCGCGTCGTGTACTCCCGCATCTGTTTTTAGCTTTCTCCAAGTTTCTCCAACGCAGTTGTCTCCACATGTGTAATTCAAGCAGTAGACCATCTCCAGGGTCTCGTGTTGTAGTAAGGTAAACTTTTTTTACAGAAAAACCTACTCTTCGGCGAGGAGCACTATGTCATATTTTCGCCGAATTTGTTCATGAATGTTTGCATTCTTTCACTCATATATTTTTGGTACAAATCACCAGTAGGTAGCTGCTAGGTTCTCTGTGGTAGATCGGCTGGTTGCTATTGGTTCCGTTCCTCTGAGGTCGAGTTTTTTGAATTGCTCTAAATTGAACTAAACAAAGCCATCTCCGTGTTTTGTTGTTTTCCCCCAATACGGAGGTAGGAAAGCCATATTATACGCTGGACCACATGCTTTGTTATTGGTTCATCTTATCAAGTTTACATTCAAAGATTTGAGGAGAACAGTACTGAATAATTTGTGTATTTTTGCAATATTGTCGAACATACGGAGCAAAGACATTTATGATCGAATAGATCAACAAATTTTCAATGGCGCTACTTGCATTTTGAATTATGCGCATATATTTCTCTTTAAAATGAAGGCATTTCATTCAAAGAACAACTTTTAGAGCAGCTACTCGTCCCTGGGTTGCTCGTTTGTTGATTAAACTCAATAGTTTATTACTCACTTAAACTACAGTACTTGTTTCTTTTCGCCTTTTCTTATTCAGAATCAGATTCTTCCTCGTTTTTCACGACCCAGCTAATATGACTTGTGCCCCTTTGAAGGGAGACATAACACAACGGATAAGACTGTTCTGCAGAATGAAGTGTTTTGATATGCTCACAAACGGAACGATGCAACGAAAGAACGTCCGACGCGTCCCTCCATTTCGTATTCCTTATCATGAAAGCCAGCGTTATGTCGTACGGGAAGAAAGGTTCATATTACGTCTTATGACACCCGTTTTTCATAGTCCTCTATAATGACCGTGGCTTTTTTCAAGAAGTAATTTCGGCGGCAAAGCTTGCGCCTACTGTTGTTCATCGTTTGCATAACGGTCGTTAATATATCTGGCTTCGTGGCACGTTCAGGAGTAGTGGACGATCAACGCTACCCTTGGAGCATGATGTAGGTCAGCTAGGTCAGCCGCCATGACGAAGGGAGGAGTAGTTTTCGATTGCTGTGTCATCACTGATTGTCAAGAAAGATGTCGTGCATTTGAAATGTCCCGCGGCTGATCAACCGAACTGGATTATTGACCGATTGTCGCGCAGCAGTTATATGCCTAATATGGCGAAGGTTGACCGGCTTGGCGGCGTCACGGTAATGGGGTGATGCGCAGGCGGGGCGGCAGTGTCCACCTATTGGTACCCCCTTAGACGTGATGTGCGTCGTTGCGGCCAGGCGAGATGGGTAGATGCTGTCCGTCTTGTCCGACGGTGGCAGACAGGCGGTTTGCTTGAGCATCTGCAACGCTCTGCAGTAGTGAATGATTGGTGTGTTACTTTGCTTTCGGTACTTTGACGTTATTTTAGGCAATGCGTTACTTTAAAACTGTCGTCGATACAGTTGTCGTGCTGAGTGACAACGTTTTGCGGATGCAAAAGCGCATCGATGAAGAATTATAAAAGAATGGTTAATGGTTCCGTCCCGAGCCATCGTCCTTGACGTGTTCGAGGAAAGGAAACGCGACGCCGTCCTAACATATACACATCTATGCTTACGCCGCAAGCCTACGAATGCGACGCGATGACGACCGGAATTCACCGAAAAGACACACTAGCCCAGCAGCCGGCCGGCTGGCCGAAAGTCACCTCGCTCGTCTGGGTCGGCGGAATCAGTCATTGGACGGTCGACGGCCGACGGCCGGTCGACGCTCTGTCCAGCCACCGTGTCTGACAGTGAACCGAACCATAGTAGATTGAAGTTGACGGCGAAACTTCTACTAACAACGCAGAGACAACTTACTGACTCCATTCTTCGTTGATGTGGACAAGTTGAACTTTGGCGGCTAAGAGTTGCGG